TGCCAATGGTGTTCAAGTGGTGCTCCAGTTGTTTTGGGATTGCACCCAGGGCGCCTATTGCTATTGGTAGTACCCTTGCTTGCCTTTGCCACAGTCTTTCTATTTGTAGGTCTTTGTAATTATTATTATTATTATTATTATTATTATTATTATTATTATTATTATTGTTGTTGTTGTTGTTGTTGTTGTTGTTGTTGTTGTTACCATCTCCAAGGTACTTTCCAACTTTATTATTATTATACTATTATTTTTAATATATTATTATGATAGCATTCCTCTATTGAGGGCAAAAAAAGAAAAATATTTGTTAACTCTACCCTTTTCCTGATCTAGCATTTTTGAAACTATCTTAATAATAATAATAGCAGTAGTAAAGTTGGAAGGGACCTTGGAAGTCATCTAGTCCAACCCCCTGCTCAGGCAGGAAACTCTACACCATTTCGGACAAATGGCTGTCCAGTCTCTTCTTAAAAATTTCCAGTGTTGGAGCATTTACTGCTTCTGGAGGCAGGCTGTTCCACTGGTTAATTGTTCTAATTGTCAGGAAGTTTCTCCTTAGTTTTAGGTTGCTTCTCTCCTTGATTAGTTCCCATCCGTTGCTTCTTGTCCTGCCTTCAGGCGCTTTGGAGAATAGCTTGACTACCTCTTCTTTGGGGCAGCCCCTGAGATATTGGAATACTGCTATCATGTCCCCCCTTGTCCTTCTCTTCATTAAACTAGACATACCCAATTCTAGCAACCATTCCTTATCTTCCCGTGTTAATGACAGTCCCAAGGCTAAATATTGCTTCTTGCAAAAGGTTTCCACAAAACGAACAGTGAAAAATGATTCTCAACGGATTGCCCGGAAAACAGCACGATGCTACCATGTGTTCCGGGAAATATTTGCTTTTTAAAACTCAGTTGTAAATGCTGGTCTTTCTGGGAGCTGTCCTGAGTCCTGATTTGAATCCGTGCCTTGCTAATAGGTTTCTCTCTGAGTATGTAATAATTCTCCCTTGTGCAGACAGCCTAGTAAACGTTCCTTTTCATTCCTTCTTTTCTGCTTGCATTCCCTACTGCATGTTGCTGAAAAACCTATGGTAGCATTTGATTGGACTGCACAATCCTTGAAGAAAAGCCAAACTGGACTGCAAGGCGATCCAACCGGTCAGTCCTAGAGGAGATCAACCCTGACTGCTCTTTAGAAGGCCAGATCCTGAAGTTGAAACTCAAATACTTTGGCCACCTAATGAGAAGGAAGGACTCACTGGAGAAGAGCCTGATGCTGGGAAAGATGGAGGGCAAGAGAAGAAGGGGACGACAGAGAAGGAGGTGGCTGGACAGAGTCACTGAAGCAGGAGGCCTGAGCTTCAATGGACTCCAGAAGATGGTAGAGGACAGGAAGGCCTGGAGAAACGTGGTCCATGGGGTCGCGATGGGTCAGACACCACTTTGCAACTAACAACAACAAATTTAGTTGAACCTTGCTCTAACCGCTGCTGAATCTTACTGAAAGCCACTGTCAAAAGCAAGACAGGTCATCCTGGACTTACAACCATTCATTTAGTAATCGTTCAAAGTTACAACGGCACTGAAAAAAAGTGACTTACAACTGATTTTAACACTTACAGCCATTGCAGCATTTTCCACAGTCACATGGTCAAACTTTGGGCATTTGTCCGTATATTTGTAATGGTTGCCATTTGCAATCTTCCCAGCCAGCTTCCAACAAGAAAAAATCAACAGGGGAATGCAAACCTGGTAATCAGTTTGGGTCACCACGATGTAAAAAATATGTTGAGACTCTAGAAAGAGGGAGAGAAGAGCAAGAAGAGCCGAGGTGGCGCAGCAGTTAGAGTGCAGTACTGCAGGCCACTTTAGCTGACTGACTGTGTTCAGCAGGTCAGCGGTTCAAATCTCACCGGCTCAAGGTTGACTCAGCCTTCCATCCTTCTGGGGTAGGTAAAATGAGGACCCAGATTGTTGGGGGCAATGTAAATATATATATATATACATTACTTACTGGTGTACACCGCTTAGAGAGTGCTTGCACTTAAAGCGGTATATAAGTCTCATAAATAAATAAATAAATAAATAAACAAACAAACAAAGATGGTTAGGGGACTGGAGGCTAAAACATACTAAGAACAGTTGCAGGGATTGGATATGTCTAGTGTAATGAAGAGAAGGACGAGGGGGGACATGACAGCAGTCTTCCAGTATCTCAGGGTCTGCCCCAAAGAAGAGGGAGTCAAGCTAGTTTCCAAAGCCCCTGAAGGCAGGACAAGAAGCAATGGATGGAAACTCATCAAGGAGAGAAGCAACCTAGAACTAAGGAGAAACTTCCTGACAGTGAGAACAATTAGCCAATGGAACTCCTTGCCTCTAGAAGCTGTGAACGCTCCAACACTGGAGGTTTTTAAGAAGAGACTGGACAGCCATTTGTCTGAAATGGTATAGGGTTTCCTGCCTGAGCAGGGGGTTGGACTAGATGACTTCCAAGGTCCCTTCCAACATTATTATTATTATTATTATTATTATTATTATTATTATTATTATTATTATTATTATTATTTTCACTTTATTCCATGTGGTTCACTTAACTGCAGCGATTTGTTTAAGAATCATAACAAAAAAATAGCCCAATCATGAAATCGGGCATGACTCACTTCACAACTGCCTTGCTTAGCAACAGAAAGTGGTCGTAAGTCGAGGATTATCTGCAAAGCCTGTGTGTCCACATGGGTGCAAAGATAGGAGGAGTGGGCAAAGTGAGATCAAGGGCATTGCGATGCCATCAGGCAAACCATGCCAACTGTGTAATTTTCACCATTTGTGTGAGGACATTGTTGTGATCCAAAGCTGGCTCAATCAAAGGAACCAAAACACTTGTCAAATGCAAGATGATTTTCATTAGGCTCTGGCAAAGCATCGGCAGTTTGATGGCCAGCCCTGAGCAAAGACAGATCCCTAGCAGAATAACAGAGTTGGACTCCCTACTCAAGCAGAAGACACATGTCAGACAAATGGCTGTCCAGACTCTTCTTAAAAACTTCCAGTGTTGGAGCATCCACAACTTCTGGAGGCAGGTGGTTCCACTGGTTAATTGTTCTCACTGTCAGGAAGTTTCTCCTTAGTTCTAGGTTGCTTCTCTCCTTGATTAGTTTCCATCCGTTGCTTCTTGTCCTGCTTCAGGTGCTTTGGAGAATAGCTTGACTCCCTCTTCTTTGGGGCAGCCCCTGAGATATTGGAACACTGCTATCATGTCCCCCCTCGTCCTTCTCTTCATTAAATTAGACATGGCCAATTCCAGCAACCATTCTTCATATGTTTTAGCCTCCGGTCCCCCTAATCATCTTTGTTGCTCTTCTCTGTACTCTTTCTAGAGTCTCAGCATCTTTTTTACATCATGGTGATCAAAACTGGATGCAGTATTCCAGGTGTGGCCTTTCCAAGGCCTTGTAAAGTAGTATTAATACTTCACGTGATCTTGATTCTATCCCTCTGTTAATGCAGCCTAGAACTGTGTTGGCTTTTTTGATTGTCCACTAGGAATCCAGGATCCCTCTCACAGTTACTACTATTGAGCAAGGTACCCCCTAAAGCATGAAGCCCTTACTTTTCCAATATATATATATAAAGCATCTGATCAAGCAATTAACTACAAAATAATGATTACAAAATAACAAAACAATGATTACATGATAATGAGGTAGATGGGAATTATCATAAGAAATATTTTAATTAATTAACAGGAGTGATGTGATGTAAGCTTTAACTAATATTAGGATCTGCCTAAATGACATAACCTGTGTGCTAATTCTATGAAGAAAACCTTTTACAAGAAGTGTCAACTGAAAGTCACAGATGGTGTAAGATATTACCCGTGTAGGGCAGTGTGGCAAGATAGCCATTTGTGTGAACTCCTTTTTCTAGTGTGTGGTCTCTTGATATAAACTTTTCCGTTTTAGTGTGTCAAAGGTAGATAAGAGTCGTTCTGAGTGCAAAGTGTGGGTGGCCAGATGTATAAGAATAATGCCTTGGATACTCCCAAGGGTTCAAGCTATGTAATAGTAGTAAAGTTGGAAGGGATCTTGGAGGTCATCTAGTCCAACCCCCTGCTCAGGCAGGAAACCCTACACCATTTCAGACAAATGGCTGTCCAGTCTCTTCTTAAAAACTTCCAATGTTGGAGCATTTACTGCTTCTGGAGGCAGACTGTTCCACTGATTAATTGTTCTCACTGTCAGGAAGTTTCTCCTTAGTTCTAGGTTGCTTCTCTCCTTGATTAGTTTCCACCCGTTGCTTCTTGTCCTGCCTTCAGGTGCTTTGGAAAATAGCTTAATTCCCTCTTCTTTATGGCAGCCCCTGAGATATTGGAATACTGCTATCATGTCCCCCCTTGTCCTTCTCTTCGTTAAACTAGACATTTGTCATGCTAATACTCTGAACCATTGTGCACAAATAAATTTCTTTTCTCCAACCCTTTGTGGTCTTGTCTTCTGATGTAAGTATCGTGGTTTTTCCACAACAATAACACTATAAGTATCAATATAAAATGGTTACTATATACAGTATAAAATAAATGCTAATGTCAAACTTACACATACTAAAATCATAAGCACAATAAAATCCCTTCAGTTAAATCACTGCAACACCGGAAGAGCTTCTTGTTAGTTTTCAGGGATCTGGGAAATATTTTTGGTAGAATACACCGGTTTGATGACCAGGAATTAGGGGACAGTATTAATTATGAATACATATAGATGGCTTCTCTCTCTTTGGTCACTTGTAATCCTGGATGCAGGGTCAGGAAAGGATAGCAAGGACAACACCCAATGTCCTAACCCACCCAAGAACATACGATATCTTTAAGTAACACTCAAATGAGAACATGTTTAGCTAATTCTGCTTTCTCCCTTCTTATCTACAGTGTGGCAGACTTACTGGGTGCAGTCTTTATCTTATGTGTGTCAGCTTTGCTGGATGGGTTGCTTATGTAATTATACAGAATAAATACAAGGATTTCTTGTCATTTGTGGCTCCTCTCATTTTAGAGGGGTCCGTCTCTATTCAGCTGAATAAACACGTAAAACTTAAAAGGCACTTTCTGGTTTCCTGTATTTCTTCAACCAGCAAAACCTCAGAACCTGCATATCAGGTTTTCTAGCTCTGTTCATGTAAGTGCTGAATGAGTTCTCTGTTTTTCATGTTTACTTTGGCTGTTCCTTCCTTCCTTTTCTGCTTTTCATACAGCCTGCTGGTTAAAGACTATGTTTTCTTCTTATTCTCCAAACAGAACGTCGGTGAGAAGAATGGGCCCGAAGAGAGACGAACATAACATTACATAAAAAGATACTAACAAGAGAAAGGAGACTTGGCAACACTGTGAGTGATTCCTGGAGATATAGGGGGCTGGGTGGAAAAGTGGAAGTTCTGGATAGTGCTGTGAAAATGTCCTTCAGATACCCCAAAATTCTGAGTTGCTTATAGGAGGGGGGGGGGAATCTTATTTCAGAAGAGAAATTAATTGTTCCTTGCTTGGTGGCTGAACATGAGGACTTTTAAAGACAAAGACCAGTTTGTGAAACATACTAAGAGAGCAAACAAGCAACATAATTTCCTAGGATGTTACTTAAGGAGCTGTAAAGTCAGAGTAATAATGAAAACTTTGCTAAGGAAAAAGTCAATTTTTTTTATATGTCTTGGGATTTCAAAACTGGTCTGTGGAAATCTGAATTTTTGGTTCCCCCCTTTACGCTTTGAAATGCTCCTGTGGATTTGCACCATTTAACAAAAGCAGCGACGTGTCGTCCACCCACAATTTCCATTCTAACAGGATATAAATAATATTCCCAGGAAGGTTTAGCCTCATTTTAGAGGTAGGCCTGTGGAGGACTCATATCTAAGGTGCAAGAGCCCAACCATGCATGTTTAAGTGCAAATTTACTGATTTATAACAGGTAGATTAAATCTTGGCATAAAAAAAATAATTATGTAGAAAAAGGGAATACTTTACTAAGCGTTGTCCCTGCTAACTGGGCACAGTTCTCCAGAATTTGCAAAGGATTTGTAAAGCACCATTTAGGAATACCTGGTATTGAATACATGGGAATATTTACCTGGGCCAATTATTTTTAATAGGACAGGTAATTGCAAAGATTCTACTTTATATTCTACTGAATATATTGAAGATTTAATTATGGTTTGAGTTTTGTCTGGACTGTAGCGTAATAAATACACAACTCTGGCCCAAATATTCCAGTTGCACGATAGGAGAAATTCCGTATGTACTTTAAATCTTAGGCTGACTTAAATCTCTTCGAAATGCAAATGCAGAGACCTAGCTAGAAATAATTTGGAAAACCACCAGATTCTAATCTTTCTAGGAAGTAATCTCAAGAGATTATACAACTGTCTCTGAATTTTACCAGTGGTCACATCTGGAAAGGCCATGCAAAGGAAGAGTTAGTTATTCCGCAGAAAGTTGTTCTTGCAAATACAGTAATGTGGTATTCTGTGTGATCTTGTTTGGTGCTTCTTGGATATAATTAATGCACTTTAATCTGCATGTTGGTTTTAATGCACAGGTTGTTACGTGTGGCAGGGGGAAGGGTCAAGGAAAGCAACAAAGATGATTAGGGGACTGGAGGATAAAACATATAAGGAACGGTTGCTGTCTAGTTTAATGAAGAGAAGGACGAGGGGTGACATGATAGCAGTCTTCCAGTATCTCAGGGGCTGCCATAAAGAAGAGGGAGTCAAGCTATTCTCCAGAGTGCCTGAAGGCAGGATAAGAAGTAACGGATGGAAACTAATCAAGGAGAGAAGCAACCTAGAACTAAGGAGAAACTTCCTGACAGTCAGAACAATTAACCAGTGGAACAATCTGCCTCTAGAAGTTGTGGATGCTCCAACACTGGAAGTTTTTAAGAAGAGGCTGGACAGCCATTTGTCTGAAGTGGTATAGGGTTTCCTGCCTGAGCAGGGGGTTGGAGTAGATAACCTCCAAGATCCCTTCCAACTTTATTATTACTATTATTATTACTATTACTATTATTTTGGATCATCGCACAGTCAGCCCGATGTTCAGACTGGATTTGGCATTTTCTCTACCTATCGAGTCCTTACCCAGGACCTGGGATAGGCAGATGTGGATGTTTGATGGTATTACAGATATCGTCGCAGGATGAAAGCAGTTCCTAGTAAGGCCGCCTTTTGCAATTGACTAATAGCGAATTTGTCAATGCCAATGGTGTTCAAGTGGTGCTCCAGTTGTTTTGGGATTGCACCCAAGGAGCCTATGACTATTGGTACTACCCTTGCTTGCTTTTGCCACAGTCTTTCTATTTCTATTTGTAGGTCTTTGTATTTTGTTATCTTCTCCAGTTCTTTCTCTTCTATTCTGCTATCTCCAGGCACTGCCACGTCCACTATCCAGACTTTTTTGTCTTTCTTATCGACAATTGTTAAGTCTGGGGTGTTATGTTGCAGGTGCTTGTCTGTTTGAATTCTGAAGTCCCAGAGCAGTTTAATTTTATCATTTTCTATGACTTTCTCTATTTTATGATCCCACCAGTTTTTGCTTACAGGCAAATGATATTTTTTGCAGATCTTCCAATGCACCATTGTTGCTACTTTGTCATGCCGCTGCTTGTAGTCAGTCTGTGCAATCTTCTTGCAACAGCTTACCAGGTGGTCCACTGTTTCTTCAGCTTCTTTGCATAGGCGGCACTTATATTATTATTATTATTATTATTATTATTATTATTATTATTATTATTATTATTATTATATGAAGCTGTGCAAAAGACCTTCTAACTATGGCTGCTATCTGCTCTTTGAATCTACAAGGACCCCCAGTTTGGGCACTGTCTGCCTGGGGTAGTGCAGCCCTACCCAGAACTAAAAATGGAAGAACCTTGATTCAAGAGGGCCCAAATAACTACAGATAACTACAGATAGTCAGTCTGGCTTGGACTGAATCAGACCCCGTTTTGCTCCATCCCCAACAGCCTCCAGACACAGGGGTAGGACATTCACAGCATCACTCAAAGGGCCTGGAGAACAGACATAAATAAAGCTGGGTGTCATCAGGCTACTGATGATATCTCATCCAAAAGAACGGCCTCATATAAATATTAAATAGAAGGGGAGAGGGGATCGAACCCTGGGGCTGTGGGCTGGATCTCACTCCCTCAACCAACACTTACTGGATCTGACTGTGCAGAGAGGAGGAAAACCAGCACAATAACGTGTGACCCATTCCCAGTCCCTGAAGCCAGCCCAGAAAAACACCACGATCAATAGAGTAAAATCAAAGTAGCAATGGAAATTTTCCTAAGGATCTAAGCCTTTTTTTTGGGGGGGGGGGCACAGCCAAGTAATGTTTTTTTGGGGGGGGGTGCCCATTATCAGTGTCATTAGGTGTCATTAGGTGTTCTCTGCGATTCAAAGCAATGGACTGCAAATGGAGAGGAAAGCACTGAAAAAAAGGAAGCATCATGAGAAATATTTTCTTACTCCCCCCTCCCCCTGAAATTGGCAGCTGACAGGCTTTCCCAGTAATTGAGTCAGGCTTCTTTGGAAGAGAAAGAAAAAGGGGAAGAAACAAACAATGCAATTTTCTGTTATAAGGAAGAAAAGCATTTTAAGCAGAAGAGGACATTCTGTTGAACATGCGCAGCCTGTGCATTAAATTCTAGTTAATTGAAAATGGGATTGGTCAACAAATTTACCTGGCAGACATGAGTAAAATTCTTACATCTCTTGATAACGTTGAAAAACAAGGTAGAAATAAAAGAACGAACGTGTAGTGAGACAAATGCAGTGGACTGGATCTCACTCCCTCAACCAACACTCACTGGATCTGACTGTGCAGAAAGGAGGAAAACCAGCACAATAACGTGTGACCCATTCCCAGTCCCTGAAGCTGGCCCAGAAAAACACCACGATCAATAGAGTAAAATCAAAGTAGCAATGGAAATTTTCCTAAGGATCTAAGCCAGTGGTTCTCAACCTGTGGGTCGGGACCCCATTTGGGGTCGAACGACCATTTCACGGGGGGTCGCCAAACAACGCAGTCCGCCATTTCCCCCCCCCCTTTTCCTTAGCTGTGCTACTCCTTTTTATTCTATTGGCTTTTGAAAGCCAATAGAATAGATTCTCTTGAATAGAGTCTAATTCTATTGGCTTTCAAAAGCCAATAGGAATTGTCCATGCTGTCTCTGCCCTGCTGAGCCCGCCAAAAGTCCCATTCTGCAAACGGTGCTGCACCAATTGAGTAGTCCTCGACTTACGACCGGTTGAGTAGTCCTCGACTTACGACCGGTTGGGGATCGCGGCATTAAAAAGATTGAGAACCACTGATCTAAGCCAATTTTTTCTTCTTCCTGTTTTTGGATTTCAAAACAGTTCTGTGGAAATCCACACGTTGGGCTCCTCCTTTGCACTTTGAAACACTCTCGTGAATTTGCTCCAATTAATAAAAGGAACTGGTCACACCCACCCACAATTTCTACTCCAACCGCCTATAAAAATAAATGTTCCCAGGAATGCTTCGCCTCCATTTACAAGGAGACACTTGCAAGAACTTCTGAAAAGGTAAGCTAAATCATTCATATTTAAATAAAGTCGCAGAACATTGTTTTCTGTTCTGAATGCTCACAAACCACCTTGTAATGATCTTTTCCCAGAATTTTTCTTGGCATCAATGACTGTATTGCAGTTATCTGGCTACAGTATGATTCACCTTTGCCCCTTTTGTGTTTTTGGAGACAGAAACATTTGCCTTTTGCAAACAGTGATCATGGCTGACTTCTCAAAAACTATTACGAGGGAGGTAACGTCCGTGCAAATGAAAAAAATTCTCTGTTGGAAGCTGAGCCCAGCCAGTAGTATGGAAAACGATACAGCGGTACAACAACGCCCAGCAAAACTGCAAGCCACATAGCTATATCTGAATGGTTTTATGACTCTTGGTGCGAACTGTTTCCTCTCGCAGCGTTATAGGCAGCGTAAAATACACAGAGAGAAATTGAAACTTTCTTTTTTCCAGATCCGGCGGCGCAACTTTCCCATGGATTCCCAACGTTCTTACGATGTGTTAGTGAAAGGCCTCCAGTCCGTCGATGTCACGGGAGATTTCAATCCTTGTGAACTTCTGCTCATAGGAGACCGAGCCTTCCCAGTGCTTGTAGATTCCAAGGGCCAAGTTCTCATCGCTGCAGCCCAATATGGGAAAGGCCGGATGGTGGTCACGGCGCATGAAGTCATGATACAACTGCCCCAGTTCTTGCAGTTCATTAAAAATGCTTTGCAGTGGCTTAGACCTTCTCCAATGGCACCTGTCGGAGTCCACAGAAGCCTGGATGCCCTCTCCAAACTGCTCCTCAGTAGCGGTATTAAAGTTCAACCAGGTGCAACACTTGGGGACTCCCCTGGGGTCTTCTGCAGAGATGCCTACGATGATGTGCAGGCCGATGACCTTGTACAGTTTGTGAAGAGAGGCGGGAGGCTGCTCATTGGTGGCCAGGCCTGGCATTGGTCATATCAACACGGGAAGGAGGCAGTCTTGGTTCAATTTCCTGGAAACCTGGTGACCGGTGTGGCTGGAGTGTATTTCACTGCCAATGTGGGAAAAAATGGTGTTTTCTCTGTGCCTAGAAAAATTCCCAAGATTCCCCTTATCACCGAGTAAGTATTACTCCACTTCTCTTTCTAAGGTTATTGATCCTATATATATAACGGTGATTAGGGTTAGAGTTAGGGTTAGCATTGGTCACCTCAATTATTTGACAAAAAAAAAAAAACAACCCGAGTGATGCGTTGATTTTGGCACTATTCTTACAGATTCTTTAAATTCGCCTGAAGGCAACATGTTCAGAGTTAAAAGAAAATGTGTATTTCTTCCCTGCTAGAAATGACAAACTCACTCTACAAATGAAACAGCACCAATGCAACCGCAGATAGCTTCTTAAGAAGGCAGATTATTCTGGTTTTAGGGAAGATCTATGAGGCTTCCATCCAACTGTTCCGGGGAAATTTTGTCAGCAAGCTTTGCCTTCAGTTTGGGGAAACAGAAGTTTTTAGGCTTATACCTTACAAAAAAATTATAATAAGAAATTTGGGGACGTTCAAGACCAGAATTTGAATAAGTGTCCATTCAGTTGTCAATGCTCTTCATGCAGTATCCATTTAGCAGCAAATTAACATCTTTCTCCTTCTCTTCTCCTTCTCCTCCTCCTCCTCCTCCTCCTCCTCCTCCTCCTCCTCCTCCTCCTCCTCCTCTTTCCTCTCCTCCTTTTCCTTCTCTTTCTTACTCTCCTCCTCCTCCTTCTCCTTCTCCACTCTGCAGTACTGATACTTGATATTACAGCTCATGTTTAGTCAAGCCGCTCTTCCAATGTTAGGATTCTAGTCTGAAGACTATCATACCCATGGAAAATATAACTTAATTTTTCTGTTTTTTTTTTAAAGACATGGAATAGATGTTCAAAAGGACTTAGTAACTCTTCTGAAAGGAGTGGAGAGATTCAATGTGAAGGGCGATGACCTCCAGAAGCAAATGACTCCATCTACCTTGCTTATCCATGGAGCCCTGGCATTTCCAGTTGGCATAAGTGATACCCACCACTCCTTCCTGGCCGCTGCATACTACGGCCGAGGACGCATCGTCGTCGCCTCTCACGAAGGCTTCCTTAGCATGCCATCAATGAAATCTTTCCTCCTCAATGCCGTCAGTTGGCTTTCTGCTGGGAAGAGAAGACAGGTGGGCATTGGAGACAACTTAAACGAACTTTACTCCATGTTAAATCAAGCAATGATACCCTGTGAGCTAACCCACTTTAAGGAAGGCCTAGACATATACTGTTGCACAGCCTACGATGCCAAAGACATGGAAAGCATCCACGCATTTGTCTCTGAAGGAGGAGGGCTCCTAATTGGGGGTCAGTCTTGGTATTGGGCTTCCGTGAATCCTAACTCCAGTGCTATTGCAGAATATCCAGGAAATAAGATCCTGAATAAGTTTGGAATTGGGATTATTGACAAATATTTGGAGATACCTGAAAACAGCTGTCCTGCCAGAGAGGCCAGCGAAGTGGCTTCCGCTTATCATTTCCGGCAAGCATTCTTGCAGTTCAAGAAACATATTCGAAACGAGCAGATTCTACAACCGCCCTATTCCTTGTGGCTGCAGAGATTGGCGGAAGACATGGAGATATTCCTTGAAATCCCAGCTACAAACTCCCGTCTCTTGTCTTCAGTTCACGAAGAGGCTCTAGAGTTAGTTCAAATTAAAGGGATTCCCGAGGTCAGTGTACGTAACCCAGTCCAATCCAATTCAGACCAAGCCATCTTACTTCAAATAGCGTCTGTGCTCTATAAGGTTCTACCAGAGTTTCAAGGCTTAGTACCCAGCTTGAAGCCATACGATCCAAGCTCTTACCCTACAGCACCTCCTCAAAAAATTCAAATAAATGGAAGCAACACAGGTAGGAAATGTCGTTCTTAATTTTGAATTTAGTGCTTCTTCTTTCAAGGAAATGACCTATGTGTGCAAGGCATTCTTTTTCCTTTATGTATATGGACTTGACCCTCTGAAAGATTGTATACTTTGCTTTTAGGAAATGAAGCTTGGAGAAGCACTGGCATGTATGTGCCCCCAGCAAGAACGGTCACTTTATTATTCCCACCTTCCATCCTCAGTGCAAAACTGCAGGTAACATTTGTTCTTAATTAAACATCATGATATATATCAGTGTTTCCCAAACTTGACAATTTTAAGGCATGTGGACTTCAACTCCCAGAATTCCACAGCCAGCGTTGCTGGCTGTGGAATTCTGGGAGTTGAAGTCCACATGCCTTAAAATTGTCAAGTTTGGGAAACACTGATATATGGTTTAGATTCTGCAGGTCCTTAACACATTAAGATAAGACACCCCCCCCCATTTCCTGGAGGCCACACCTTTTAATGTTGCCAAGGTGGAGAGACAACGATGATATACCACTTCTAATCAGAATCAGAACTAGATTTCCATTTTTTTTAGATGCTCGACACGCCCGCCACATCATTTAATGTCATCCTTGAGCCATTTCTCGTCATAGTGACTTGTTCATTTCAATGGAGGTGATTTTCCACAGGTGCAGATTGGGTGCCACACTGATAGTTTAGTTAATCTCAAGGAATGGATGCGTCCTCCAGTGGTGACGAGGCGGTTTCTGGTGAAGACTGCGAAGATGGAGATCTCCAGCTTGTGGGGAGGCCTCTTGTACATCATTGTGCCAGACAACTGTTCATTGGGCTACTTCTCTGTCACCATCGAAGGAGCAACCCAGGCGCCTTATTTCAAGCATGGTAACACAACTCCTTCCTCAATTTGTGAAGTTCAAAACTTTTCTGCTTTGCTGGTTGGCTCTGAACTGATCTGGCCCCAAAAGGCATTGCAGCCAGCCAACTGTCAGAGGTCCCCCTCCGTTTAGAAACCCAGCATAAACATGGATAGCCCTTGGTATTTCAGAGAAATATTCTGCAAATAGGTATTTACAAGAAGTAAATTGCACCACTGTATGTCTTCCATTGAACCCACTCTTCAAAATATGACGATCAGGAAAGCAATTTTCTTCCTTCCATCTATTGCTTGGCTTATTATACCCAGGTGTTCTATTTCAAATATTTCTTTAGGTGAAACCAGCATCCAGGATTGGCAAGAGACGATCCGCCAGTATCCTGCTCCCTGGGCGGAACTGGAAACTGAGAATATTATTCTCACGCTGCCGTCAGACTCTATACGTGGTCACGACAGGGTTGATTTCCTGCTCCAGACCTGGGATGAGATGATGAGGGCCATCGCCCACTTAGCAGCCATCCCTCCTATTTTTCCCAGCCCAGAGAGGATTGTGGCCGATGTTCAGATATCAGCAGGCAAGTATAAACTTGTAGAGGAAAAACCGTAAAATATTATTGGTTTGCTTCCCTAATTTACCACTCAAAATGTGTTATAATGGAATTATTGTACTAATACAGCGGTTCTCAACCTATGGGTCGTGACCCCATTTGGGGTCGATCGACCATTTTACGGGGGTCGCGAAGCAACGCGATCCGCCATTTTCTCCCCCAGGGGGTGGCGCCACACATGCGCACCGCACTGCGCATGTATGTCGCGTCCGTGTGACGGGGGTCGCCGTCACACAAAGATTGAGAACCGCTGTACTAATAGTTCCTCAGTGCACTGCAGCAAACTCACAGGTGCACTCTGGGATATTTTATTATTTAATAAATGGAATTATAAAGATCATTTATTGAAATTTAGTAAAATATCTCACCGTTCTTCTGCCAGATCTCTGCATTGCCCTAGGTCGCTACAGCATAGTTTGTAAATCACTAAGAACATCATGAAAAAGTACTGAGATACTAAGAGCGTCATGAATTGAGAAAATTTGGGAACCCCTGGGATTTTGGGGGGGGGATACCTACATCCATGTGTTGGGATTCCTCGCCAGCCAGTGGATCCGGCAGCTGAGTCTGAGGAATAAGAGGAGGAGGAGGAGGGGCCTGGAGTGACATCAGAGTCAGAGGAAGGCTCTGAGAAGCTCCAAGATGTACAGTCGGACGAGGAGCCTGGCCCCTCTACTCGCACTCAGGCTGAGACACAGCTGTGCTGGGAGGCTGAGTTGGACAGTGATGAAGAACAGCTGGGACAAATTCCGGATGCACGAAAGAGCAGGCAAGAGAAGGGGGTAGGACAGAGGAATGCAATGGGGCAGCTCCAAAGGCAAAGGAGAAGGCATTAGGAAGCCACGCCTTGGCTGAATTATAAAAGGGAAGGTGTGGGAGATGCTGGCTGCCAAAGGCAACTGTTTATGTTGAGGATCAAGTTTCTGTGGACTGTGTTTGTTTGCCTTAGATGAGGCAGAGATGAGCACCACACCCAGTGGCGGGATTCAAATATGTGAACAACCGGTTCTCTGTGTGTGGATGCCACTTCCGGAAGGCCATTCCAGGCCTGGGCAACAAAAAATTGGCTATCGGTTCTGCTGAAGTGGTGTGAACCAGCTGAATCCCACCACTGACTACATCCTAGAGTCAGTCATATTCACAGGAAGCCCTGTGTCTTGAACTTCAAAAGAGCTGACTTTAACAAACTCAGAGAGAATCTAGGAAAGATACCATGGATGAAAATCCTAAAGGGGAAAACAACCCAAGAAGCATGGGCAACTCTGAAAAATGCGATCATAAAAGCCCAGACCAGCACAATACCACTGAAAAAGAAAAGCAAGAAATTCAGGAAGAAACCAGCATGGCTGCACAAAGTGACAAACTGAAAGACAAAAAGGACAAATACAAAAAATGAAAAGAGGGGTACATAACTAAGGCCAATTATCAGCAGACAGCCAGAACATGCAAAGATGAAGTCAGGAAAGCAAAGGCTCAGAACGAACAAATACTTGCAACAGAAATCATGGATAATAAGAAAAGTTTCTTCCAACATATTAACAACAAGAAAAAAGTCAAGGAAACTGTACGTCCACTAAAGAGAGAATCCAAGAGCAATCCAAGGGCAGTACTTATTATTATTTTTCTTTCTTCCTCTTTTCTCTCTCTTTCTGAGATGGTTTTAAAGAGAAAAAGAAATTGCAGGCAGAAATACCTGCAGGAAGGAGTCAAAACCTACAGTAAACTGAACGGTTGCAGTGCATTTTGCTTCTTTTCCATATCTGTCCAGACATTATATGCACAGAAAGGGAAGCCCAAGACTTAATGGCACTTCCTTTTGTTATCATTTTGTCGAAAAAGTCTGATTATGCAGAGGTCTCTGGCTGCAGGCCACAGATAGATAAGCATTTTCAGAAATTTGAAGTGAGTTTATTTATTTATTTATTTTTCATCCACATGTTAATTTTTCCAATCAACAAAGTTGTCTGGAGTTTGTTAAGCTAAAACATGTTCAGTTCCTAATCCTTCATTCTTTTCTCTAACCAAGAATAAAATAAATTCCAAATTTGATAGTAGTCTGTATCTTCTTTGTCTTTCAACCTCCTAGTTAATCTGTCCATCTCTGCACATTCCAGTATTTTCCTGATTATTTCTTCTTCTGATGGCAATCCTTCATTCTTCCAGTATTGTGCAAAAATTATTCTCGCTGCTGTGGTGATGTGTAAAATTAAATATAATTTCTGCTTATTAGTCTTTTCAGGCATAATGCCTAGTAGAAAAAGTTCAGGTTTAAAATCCACTTGTTCGCCCAATATTTTTTCTAACCACATATGTATATTTTTCCAATAAGCCTTTGCCTTCCCACATGTCCACCAAATACAATAATACGTGCCTATATTATGTTTACATTTCCAACATCTATCTGACATATTTTTAAACATTTTTGCTAATCTTGCTGGTGGAAGGTGCCATCTATAAAACATTTTATGCAAATTTTCTTTGTATGAAGTTGACATTGTTAATTTATAGTTTCTCTCCCATAACATTTGCCATTTTTCTAATTCTATATTATAACCAATTTTTTTTGCCCATCTTGTCATTGTTTCTTTCTCTTGTTCATTTTCCGTATCTAAAATTAACAAAAAGTTATACAATTTCTTGATTAATTTCTCATCTGAGGATAACAAAATCATATCAAACACAGATTGGTCCTTGTAAAATCCATACATTTGTACATCTTTTTCATATCTACTTTGTATCTGTAAATGTGTATTTTTTTTTTTTGTCTCTACAACAGTGGTTCTCAACCTTTCTAATGCCGCGAGCCCATAATACAGTTCCCCATGTTGTGGTGACCCCCAACCACTTATACATCACCGGGTGGCCAAAGAAAAGGGGGAAAAAATGGTGGACAGCCTTGTTTGGCAACCCCCGTGAAATGGTCGTTCGACCCCAAATGGGGTCCCGACCCACAGGTTGAGAACCACTGCTCTACAATGAGGGAATCTATTTAATTGTATCCCTCCCAACTCTTTCCTTAGGTTGGATGCACGCTGGCTCTCCAGTCATGAGTAATGTGGGGGCCCTACCAGAGATCATAGATGTGCAAGCTTTCCACAGCAAAGGAGCTTGGGGCCCAATCCATGAGTTGGGCCACAACCAGCAGAAAAGCGGGTGGAATTTCCCACCCCACACCACGGAAGCCACCTGCAATCTCTGGTCTGTTTATGTTAATGAGACTGTGCTGCACATCTCCCGAGAAATAGCCCATCCAGCGCTTCTACCGGATGCAAGAAGAGAGAGGATTGAGACCTACATGAGAAACGGAGCTAATTTGGAGGACTTTGAAGTGTTCACGGCACTTGAACCCTATTTGCAGGTAAAAAACTGTTAAGGGGAGGTCACTGGTATAATACAGATAGTCCTCGACTTACAACAGTTCATTTAGTGACCGTTTGAAGTTACAACGGCACTGAAAAAGGCAACGTATGATTGCTTTTCACGCTTACGGCAGTTGCAGCATCAAAACCTGGATACTTGGCAACTGGTTCATACTTATGACGGTTGCGGTGTCCCAGGGTCATGTGATCATCATATGCAATCTTCTAAGACAGTGGTTCTCAACCTGTGGGTCGGGACCCCATTTGGGGTCGAACGACCATTTCACGGGGGTCGCCAAACAACGCAGTCCGCCATTTTTTTCCCTTTTCCTTAGCTGTGCTACTCCCTTTTATTCCATTGGCTTTTGAAAGCCAATAGAATAGACTCTCTTGAATAGAGTCTAATTCTATTGGCTTTCAAAAGCCAGTAGGAATTGTTCAGGCTGTCTCTGCCCTGCTGAGCCCGCCAAAAGCACCATTCTGCAAATGGTGCTGCACCAGTTGAGTAGTCCTTGACTTACGACCGGTTGAGTAGTCCTCGACTTACATCCGGTTGGGGGTTGCGGCATAAAAAAGGTTGAGAATCACTGTTCTAAGAAGTAAGGTGAAAGGGGAAAGCCAGTTTCTCTTAACAACCATGTTACTAACTTAGTAACTGCAGTGATTCCCTTAACAACTGTGGCAAGAAAGGTCCTAAAGCAGAGCAAAAACTCACTTAACAAATGTCTCACTTAGTAACAGGATTTTTGTTCTCAGTTGCGGTCGTTTATTGAAGACTTCCTGTACTTGTGATGAGTAGTAAGGTTAGCGGGGAAAATCATCCTCAAAAAGGGGAACAAAATCCTATCAAGAGGGAGTCAAGCTATTCTCCAAAGCACCTGAAGGCAGGACAAGAAGCAACGGGTGGAAACTAATCAAGGAGAGAAGCAACCTAGAACTAAGGAGAAACTTCCTGACAGTGAGAACAATTAATCAGTGGAACAACCTGCCTCCAGAGGCAGTAAATGCTCCAACACTAGAAATTTTTAAGAAGAGACTGGACAGCCATTTGTCCAAAATGTTGTAGGGTTTCCTGCCTGAACAGGGGGTTGGACTAGATGACCTCCAAGGTCCCTTCCAACTTTACTACTACTATTATTATTAATTCAGGGCAATTGGTGCAATGAGTTAAAGGTGTGAAAAGAAAGGGTTTGTAACTTCTCTGTTTTTTATACTAGGGGCCTTTGATCTAGACAACATAAGATCATTTAGTGTAAAATAATGTAATAGCTGAGGTATAGATCATGGATCTACACCAGTGATGGCGAACCTTTTAGAGACCAAGTGCCCCAAAACTGCCCCACCCCCTGACCCGCCCCCACTCTGCCCCACCGCCACCCACCCGCAGGGCCACCCACTGCCTCCACGGCCCACTGCAGATCACCCAGACGGCCCTGCAGCGCCATGGTGGCCATGCCCTCTGCCCGCGCCCCACAGCATCATCTGCACGTGATGGAGCGCGAGAGTGGAGTCTTGTCCCTGCTTCCCGGCTGCCATGTTCTTGGCTGCGCTGCTCTGTGCAGGCCGCACCCGGGGGCGACTCTCCTCTGGGGGGGGGGCTGCTGGTGAGGAGGGAACCACAGTGGGAGGCGGGGCTGGAGCGACGGCGCACGTGCCCACAGAGAGGGCTCTGAATGCCGTCTCTGGGACGCGGGCCGTAAGTTAGCCACCACTGATCTATACGGTTACCCTGTTTTTCTTCAGCTGCAGGAAGCCTTCGGTTGGGACCCCTACATCCACCTTTTAGCGAAATATCAAACCATGAGCGACATCCCAGATGACAATCGCTACAAGATGAACCTGTGGGCAGAAACCTTCTCTCAGGAAGTCAACAGAAACCTGGGGCCTTTTTTCAAAACCTGGGGGTGGCCCATTGAAGGCAGCGTCTCCGAGAAGCTGGCCATGTCCTACCCTGCCTGGGCTGAGGATCCCATGATACAGTATCGGCGCTCTTGAAGGACTAGAAGGCCAAGATCGTCCCCATCAGAGAACACTGGAATTGGGGAGAGGTGTTACTCAAAACCGAGTCTGATAAGATGAGCTAAGTTGGAAGGGTTTTCAGCTGCAACATAAAGTCTTCTTTAGCTGTTGCGTTTGGAGGATTTCAGCTCCACTATTGGGTTGCTGCCTTTTAAAAAGGAATATCTCTTTCTTATTTTGCCACGCAACGCTACAGTAATAAATTGAAGGGGGCACCCTGAGTTTTCCAAGGAAAAATAAATCCATCCAAGGCAAACTGAATTCCAATCGTGTATTTTATCTTAAACTGACCTGGTGTTCCGCTGGGTCCGGATAAATTTGTGTGCCCTGAACGCCTCATTCTTGTTAGCAGTTTCCGTGCAGAGGTCCATCAGCATGCAATTAGAAATCCTGATTTAATCTTAGAAGATCCAGTGCAGGTAAAGAATGTCTCCTCAGCAGTTTCCAGGACCTCCGTTGGCATTAAATTAAGTTAATGGTAGAATTAAAAGATATATATAACTGTACATATAATTGTATATATAATTGTAATTGTATAGAAGGATGAGGCCTATGTAGAGGTTAAGAACAATGTATTAAGTTTTTGTACCATGAGAAACATGGGAAAAAAATTCATTCTGGAATGTCATGTTTGTCCATTTTTGTTTTAATTGCATTATGAATTAAAAATTTATATATTAAAAAAAAGAATGCCTACTCAGCAGTTTCCAGGACCTCCGTTGGCATTAAATTGGAGGCAGGAGGTGGCAGCACCATACCAATGAATTAAACTCACAAGCATCCTTTAAAGGTTTACTAAAGGAAGAAGAGGAAGAACAGCAGCAAAAGAACGTAAGAGTGAGATAGAAGAGAGGACAGGGAGGGAGAAGGAGAGGGAGGGGACCCCCTTGCAAAGAATGACAGGATGATCTTCCTTCCTCAAATCCCATTGGCAGACACCCCCTCCCTCTCTCCCTCCCTCCCCAACCAAGGCAGAATTGATAGAGCCGCTGTAATTTATCCACTGTAATTTATCCAATGTTTGGGGCTGGTCAACGCATCTTCTGTTAGGAGTACCATTCTTGAAAGTGTTGGAAGTAAAGTCTTCATCCTGGTTCATCCAAGCTGGGAATAAACATGGCAACTGCTTTGGGAAGAAGGTTTGTAGTTTATTGGAGAGGAGAGCTAGACAGGAAGATGGTTCTGGCAGCAAGAGAAGTGGAAAAAGGGCTGAGCACATGTAGGAAGTAGGTTTTTATACCCTCTGGAGCCTTTTGTTCGGAGTTGTTCCTGTGGCATGAACTTTGACCTGAGTCTGAGTGTGCCTTTCTGGTATTCTGATGGTGATGGGTCAATCTTATTATATCCAAAGGTCATATCCTGCTTCCCTGGGGCTGATGACTCTTAGAGTTTGGATGGGGTATGTCGATTTTAGGTCTTTGTCTTCTTAATCTCCTAGTTCCCTGGAGTTACATCTGCATCTCTATAGGGCTGGTTTCTGCTTGGAGGAGGGAGACTTGGGGCTATTAAGAAAACTGGGCATGCTTTTCTGCCTCTTTAAGATCCTTTGAGAAAATATATTTTTCTGCCTTTTTAATATTTCCTTCTCGGGGGGGGGGCTGACTTCCCACAAAAGCAAAGAAGGTATGTTTGAGTCCTCAGACTCTGAATGATGTATTTTTTTTTTTACTATGTTTGTCAGTTAGGAAAAGAACAATTCTTTTACAGAGATGTCTCAGAACTGGAACTATATAGTTTAATATAAAGTTAATATTTGACATGAAGAACCAAGAAAGACACATGGAGTTATTTCTAAGTCGTTTCTTTTATTATTCCTCACCTATAGACAGACATCCAAATTTAAGCTAAATTAAACTATAATTGCCAAACTAAAGCAACTATTTACATCACTAACGATATACTCCGAGAATTGCCAGCTGAACTATCTAAACTTCTCTGTCTCTTAGTCCTTTGAAATGCAACCCCTCCCTCCTGGGAATCCAGGCTACGTTCCACCGCAATGGTTACTCCTTGCAATAATCCATGCTGATAGTTCCATAGCTTCAATGTTGGCTACACTTCCATTTATTCTCACCAAAAGGAAGACAGAGACTCCGATCTTTGCTTTAAACAGCCAGTCAGTCTTTCAATGATGTTGGTTGGTCATCTGAATGGACAAAACTGTTTAAACGAAACCCTGCATCTATAAAGCAAGGATAAAGATAATCATAGAAAAAAGAGAAGGAAAAAAATAACAAAGGAGCTTGGTGAAGAATCTGGGCCACTGGAAACTCTTCTGGAGAAGTCCTCCTAATATCCCAGAGTCTGTGGGAAAGCAAGCAATTTCCTCTCTAGGAAATGAGATGGTTGGGGGCCATTCCTGAAAAGACCCTGCAAAGCTGGTTTACATCCAATGGTAGGTAGCAAATATGGTTTCCCGGAAAGTTTTGGAAACCCATTGCCAGGGTTTCTATAACACATTCTACCAGCTTAGTTAAAATTTCACTGGCTTCATTGTTTGAACAATCTAAGCCTAATTAGCTTTAAACTAGGTTAGGTTTTTTGGTGGTTTGTTATACAAACACGGCCTATTTAGTTAATCCTAGGTTTAATGTATAAACTGAGAAAGTGGGTTAACCAGTAACAATTAAGCAGGTGATGAAATCTCATTTCAGGTCATCTGTATAGGTGACACCCGTGTTCTAGCTGATCCATTTCTGTTCCTGTTCTCCTTCTATAGAACGGAATTACGGTATTACATTGGATAAGCATCTTCCCCGGGAACTATCTTGTGCCTGTAGAAACATAATAAAATACAGAATTTAAAATTGCCTGCCTTCAGGGTGATAGTTTTAAAGTACTAGTAGCAGGCAGTCCTCGACTTACAACTAGTCGCTTAATGACTGTTCAGAGTTACAATAGGCCTCCCCAGAGTTACTTATGACCCATTTTTGAAGTTACAGTGACTGTCTCCCTGGGGTCTCATGATTGCATTTTGAGTACTTGGCAACTGGTTCACCTTTACGGCCATTTCAGGATGCCACTGTCACAGGACTGCAATTTGCAACATTTTTTAAAATCAGTTTCCAGGATCTACTTCTAGTTTCCAGCAAAAAAATAAACACCCATTAGGGAAAATCTGATTAACAATGTTAGCTTTTCTTCACCACGGCCACAAGAAATGTTGGAATCAAAGGATGCTTTGATTTACAACTGTAATAACCTACGATCATAATTCCAGCCTCAATTATTGCTGTAGGTCAAGGACTACCTGTATATCATAGCCTTTCTACTGATTTGCCCAATTAGATCATGGTTTCCCAGCCTATCTTGGACTTCAGCTCCCCTGTTTCCCAGCCAAATTGATCCAAACCCCAGGAAATCTGCTAGGTCCAATTCAGCTAAGTCAGGGAAGGCTGATCCTGATTACTAACCCCTAAAATCACAGGCTTGGTACTATGGTATATACACAGTCCCAGAAAGCGGTACATTTAACGGAATAACAGAATAACAGAGTGGGAAGGGACCTTGGTGGTCTTCTAGTCCAGCCCCCTGCTCAAGCAGGAGACATTACACCATTTCAGACAAATGGCTCTCCAATCTCTTCTTGAAATCTCCAGTGTTGGAGCACCTGCCACTTCTGGAGGCAAGTCGTTCCACCGGTTAATTGTTTTAACAGGCCATTGATTGTGATTTGTTTGTGCAGTGCTTTGATCTACATTTGATCAGCCAAAGAGGCTCCCACGGGCTGGGCGGGGAATCGCCATGGTAGCTTGCCAGACATAAAACTAGGATCCCATGTGCTCCTTTTGGAATCTGAAGTTCTGCACTGTGTTCATCTTTGTGCTCAGTTTGTACACTTATGCACTTGTTGTTAGTTGCGAAGTCTTGTCTGACCCATCGCGATCCCATGGACAACATTCCTCCAGGCCTTCCTGTCCTCTACCATCTTCTGGAGTCCATTTAAGCTCACGCCTACCGCTTCAGTGACTCCATCCATCCAGCCACCTCCTTCTCTGTCGTCCCCTTCTTCTCTTGCCCTCCATCTTTCCCAGCATCAGGCTCTTCTCCAGTGAGTCCTTCCTTCTCATTAGGTGGCCAAAGGACTTGAGGTTCAACTTCAGGATTTGGCCTTCTAAAGAGCAGTCAGGGTTGATCTCCTCCAGGACTGACCGGTTGGATCGCCCTGCAGTCCAAGGGACTCGCAGGAGTCTTCTCCAGCCCCAGAGTTCAAAGGCCTCAATTCTTTTGCGCTCAGCCTTTCTTATGGTCCAACTTTCACAGCCATACATTGCAACTGGGAAAACCATGGCCTGGACTATACGTACTTTTGTTGGCAGGGTGACGTCTCTGCTTTTTATGCTGTCTAGATTTGCCACTTATACACAACAGAAGACTAATCATGCAAAGTGCTTCTAAGCCTTCCATGAGTTCATGCCCAAAAAAATAGGGAACTCCCAGAGACCTTCTCCCCGTTAGGAATGAGAGGGGAAATTTACCTTAGTTCCTTCCACTGGTAAGCAACCTTTATAAAACGAAGACCATTGTCACTGCAATCATAACGAATAAAGGAGCTAAGAGAGGAGCGGAAAAAAGGAAGTCATGAATTTCGTGGTAGCTAAATGAAGCCGTCACTTCCCACTGATTCAATATCTCTATAAGGGAGTAACTGTACTTTGGTGGTGAAGACACCAGGCTACAAACCCAGAGACTGTGAGTTCTAGTTCTGCCTTAGGCACGAAAGCTGGCTGGGTGACTTTGGGCCAATCACAGGAGACTGTGAGTTCTAGTTCTGCCTTAGGCACGAAAGCCGGCTGGATGACTTTGGGTCAATCACCAAGAGACTGTGAGTTCTAGTTCTGCCTTAGGCACAAAAGCCGTCTGGGTGAATTTGGGCCAATCACCAGGTGATGGTGAATTCCAGTTCTGCCTTAGGCACAAAAGCCAGTTGGGTGACTTTGGGCCAATCACCGGGAGACTGTGAGTTCTAGTTCTGCTTTAGGCATGAAAGCTGGCTGGGTGACTTTGGACCAATCACCAAGAGATGGTGAGTTCTAGTTCCGCCTTAGGCAGGAAAGCTGGCTGGGTGACGTTGGGCCAATCGCCAGGAGACTGTGAGTTCTAGTTCCGCCTTCGGCACGAAAGCCGGCTGGGTGACTTTGGGCCAATCACCAGGAGACCGTGAGTTCTAGTTCTGCCTTAGGCACAAAAGCCGTCTGGGTGAATTTGGGCCAATCACCGGGAGACTGTGAGTTCTAGTTCTGCCTTAGGCACAAAAGCCAGTTGGGTGACTTTGGGCCAATCACCGGGAGACTGTGAGTTCTAGTTCTGCTTTAGGCATGAAAGCCGGCTGGGTGACTTTGGACCAATCGCCAGGAGACTGTGAGTTCTAATTCTGCTTTAGGCACAAAAGCCAGCTGGGTGCCTTTGGCCGATCACCGGGAGACTGTAAGTTCTAGTTCTGCCTTAGGCACGAAAGCCGGCTGGGTGACTTTGGGCCAGTCTCTCTCTCTCTCTCTCTTTTAACCCAACCCACCTCCCAAGGTTGCCGTTGTGGGGAAAATGGGCGGAAGAAGGAGTGTTAGGGAAGATCGCTTCCTTGAATTGTGTATAAAAATAATAAATATGGGCTATAAACAAACAAAGAAAGAAAGTTTCCTTTCCAATTTCTCTACCTCCATTCATCAGGATTAGTGTCATTTCAAAATATAGTTTTAATTAAGCAGATGGGGTCTAGTGGCCCCCTCAATGCTAGCCTACTACTTTATTGGCTAGAACCCGGGTCCCCAATCTTGTCAACTTTTAAGACTTGTGGACTTCAACTCCCAGAATTCCCCAGCCAGCCATGCTGGCTGGGGAATTCTGGGAGCTGAAGTCCACAAGTCCTAAAATTGCGAAGATTGGGGACCCCTAGGCTAGAAGCCCCTGTATGAAATTGCTCCCAAAAGCTGAGATAGTAATTGGTGGTACCAAACTGAAGGCTAACTGTGCCACAGGTATTATCGCTTCCCATCTCCCCACTTCGCCAGCAAAAATTTATTTATTTATTTTATTTTTATTTTATTTTTAAAATTTATAAGCCACCCCCACTCCCGGAGGACTCTGGGCGGCTAACAGTAAAAACACATAAAACATAACAAAACAAACAGTACAAGAACAGTCATCCAGGGGTCAGGTTTTATAAAGGTGGTGCAGCAGTTAGAGTGCAGTACTGCAGGCCACTTTAGCTGACTGTGTTCAGCAGGTCAGCGGTTCAAATCTCACCGGCTCAAGGTTGACTCAGCCTTCCATCCTTCCGGGGTAGGTAAAATGAGGACCAAGATTGTTGGGGGCAATGTAAATATATATATATATATATATATATATATATATATATATATATATATATATATATACATTGCTTACTGGTGTACACCGCTTAGAGAGTGCTTGCAATTAAAGCGGTATATAAGTCTCATAAATAAATAAATAAATAAATAAATAAATAAACCCCAGGCCTGCCGGAAAAGCCAGGTCTTAAGCAACTTACAGAAAACCAACAGGGTGGGAGCGGTCCTAATCTCCGGGGGGAGCTGGTTCCAAGATGTGGGTGCCATCACAGAGAAGGCCCTCCCCCACGGCCCCGCCAAATGGCACTGCTGGGCCGACGGGACCTAAAGGAGGCCCAGCCTGTGGGATCTAACCGGACGAAGGGAACTATGAGGTAGTAGGCGGTCTTTTCTTTTCCAATCATCAGGACTAAAGGATGGCGCAAACACCTGGCACGGCCCTTCTTACCTGGATCGAGGTATTGCTTCTGTGACTGTGATGGAGGTACGGCTTCATCATTGGTGCATGGTGGATTTAAGCCGGTCCAGAGCGCAACGCCACTTGACTCCTCACACCTAATAATGCCAGTGATAGGAGCCTGTGCTTGAGATTCATTCAAGCATTTATAGCTCAGTTTTTGTCCCACTTTGTATTTTATCACTTTAACAGTGGCGTGCTTGTATGGGGCGGGAACTCCGCAATATCCTGTGGGGATGGGGGGGGGCAAAGAGAAAAATCAGAGAACATCCTTCGCAAACACTGACAAACCTAAATTCATCAGAATTTAGCCGGTGGCTAAACATGACAGTCACAGCAGCATCGATGTATTTACTGACTCACCGTCCTTAGAGAGATTGGTGAGGTAGTAAAATTACTCAACTGGGTAATTAACAGGCTGATTTACAGACAGCAGGATTGATTGAGGGACAATAAAACTAAGGGGAAGCTGATTGGAATCATAAAGGTTGAGCAGAATACATCCAGTTTGTTGTGAAGACATAGCATGCTAATGCCTACTTTACAAAATGTTCTTGTCACATTCACCAAGCCATCACCCACATTACAGCACAATGACCTATTTTCCAACAACCACAAATGTCAATTCTAAGACCAGAGATGGTTCTTTATTTTTTTACACCCAATAGACAGAATTGTTCCAGACTAAAGTGATAATTCCTGTGAGTCCTCTGGACTGCAAGGCGATCAAACCAATCAGTCCTGGAGATCAACCCTGACTGCTCTTTAGAAGGCCAGATCCTGAAATTGAAATTCAAGTCCTTTGGCCACCTAATGAGAAGGAAGGACTCACTGGAGAAGAGCCTCATGCTGGGAAAGATGGAGGGCAAGAGAAGAATGGGATGACAGAGAATGAGGTGGCTGGAGGGAGTCACTGAAGCAGTAGGCATGAGCTTCAATGGACTCGAGAAGATGGCAGAGGACAGGAAGGCCTGGAGGAATATTGTCCATGGGGTCGCAATGGGTCAGACACGATTTCGCAACTAACAACATCTATCTATCTATCTATCTATCTATCTATCTATCTATCTATCTATCTATCTATCTATCTATCTATCATCTGTTGAGGCCTTTGAACAATGGTGCTGGAGAAGACTCCTGTGAGTCCCCTGGACTGCAAGGCGATCCAACCGGTCAGTCCTAGAGGAGATCAACCCTGACTGCTCTCTAGAAGGCCAGATCCTGAAGTTGAAACTCAAGTACTTTGGCCACCTAATGAGAAGGAAGGACTCACTGGAGAAGAGCCTGATGCTGGGAAAGATGGAGGGCAAGAGAAGAAGGGGACGACAGAGAATGAGGTGGCTGGATGCAGTCACTGAAGCAGTAGGCGTGAGCTTCAATGGACTCCAGAAGATGGTAGAGGACAGGAAGGCCTGGAGGAACGTGGTCCATGGGGTCGCGATGGGTCGAACACGACTTGGCAACTAACAACAAAGTGATAACTTTCAAACTTAATATATTATATCTTGGATAGTCTAAGTGTGGCATGTTTTCCACCCTTCCTCATTACCTTCCATGACTGTTGGGGTGCTGGTGCTGAGTTGGGGCCCACTGGAACTCTTCTCCCATTTTTCAGTAGGAGACGGCCCTGAAGGAAGATCAACCAATTTGGGGTCAATTTTGCAGAAATTCTACTAAGGAAAACAAACATGCTAGAGAGATACAATCAGATTCTCTAGATTGTAGTTTCCGAGTTTAGATGAAGATGGGAGGAGATAGAAAGCTTGGATGAAGTTGGGAGGAGATAGAAAGCTTGGATGAAGATGAGAGGAGATAGAAAGCTTGGGTGAAGTTGGGAGGAGATAGAAAGCTTGGGTGAAGTTGGGAAGAGAAAGAAAGCTTGGATGAAGATGGGAGGAGATAGAAAGTTTGGGTGAAGATGGGAGGAGAAAGAAAGCTTGGATGAAGATGGGAGGAGATAGAAAGCTTGGGTGAAGATGGGAGGAGAAAGAAAGCTTGGATGAAGATGGGAGGAGATAGAAAGCTTGGGTGAAGTTGGGAGGAGATAGAAAGCTTGGGTGAAGATGGGAGGAGAAAGAAAGCTTGGATGAAGATGGGAGGAGATAGAAAGTTTGGGTGAAGATGGGAGGAGATAGAAAGCTTGGGTGAAGATGGGAGGAGATAGAAAGCTTGGATGAAGATGGGAGGAGAAAGAAAGCTTGGATGAAGATGGGAGGAGATAGAAAGTTTGGATGAAGATGGGAGGAGAAAGAAAGCTTGGATGAAGTTGGGAGGAGATAGAAAGTTTGGGTGAAGATGGGAGGAGATAGAAAGCTTGGGTGAAGATGGGAGGAGAAAGAAAGCTTGGATGAAGATGGGAGGAGATAGAAAGCTTGGATGAAGATGGGAGGAGATAGAAAGCTTGGGTGAAGATGGGAGGAGAAAGAAAGCTTGGATGAAGATGGGAAGAGAAAGAAAGCTTGGATGAAGATGGGAGGAGATAGAAAGCTTGGGTGAAGATGGGAGGAGATAGAAAGCTTGGATGAAGATGGGAGGAGAAAGAAAGCTTGGATGAAGATGGGAGGAGATAGAAAGCTTGGGTGAAGTTGGGAGGAGATAGAAAGCTTGAGTGAAGATGGGAGGAGATAGAAAACTCGGGTGAAGATAGGAGGAGATGAGAGGAAGGTGGTCCTCAGGGAGGAAGGCGGTAAAAAAAAAATCAAGATGGCCGTCTGATAGCCAAATCTAGCCTTAGGTCAGTGGTTCTCAGCCTGTGGGTCAGGACCCCATTTGGGGTCGAACGACCATTTAACGGGGGTCGCCAAACAACGCAGTCCGCCATTTTTCCCCCTTTTCCTTAGCTGTGCTACTCCCTTTTATTCTATTGGCTTTTGAAAGCCAATAGAATAGACTCTCTTGAATAGAGTCTAATTCTATTGGCTTTCAAAAGCCAATAGGAATTGTCCAGGCTGTCTCTGCCCTGCTGAGCCCGCCAAAAGTCCCAGTCTGCAAACGGTGCTGCACCCGTTGAGTAGTCCTCGACTTACGACCGGTTGGGGGTCGCGGCATTAAAAAGGTTGAGAACCACTGGATTAAAGGGACGGGGACCAATCAGATTAAAGGGACGGGGACAAAGGTATAGAAAAAAGCAAGACACCGTGGAATGGAGTCAGTAGCCAGTAACTGTGGTGGGAAACTGCGCAGCTGAAGTTGCCATAACTCCCTGCAACAGCACACACACACACACACACACATGCTTCCTGGAGACAGTGTAAGTTAACCACAACCTTCTTCCTACAGCAATGATATCAGCTTCATGATTGTCTGATAAAGAGCAGCGAGGGCAGTGGTGGGACTCAGCCAGTTTGTACCACTTTGGCAGAACCGGTAACTAATTTTTTTGTTGCCCAGGCCCAGAATGGACTTCCGGAAGCGGCATCCATACAGAGAACCGGTTGTTCCCATATTTGAATCCCACTGCTGAGCAAGGGTCTCACTGAAGCATGTTCAGTGGTTTGGGGAAAGGCAGAAAAAAAAATGTTCCACCACCTACGTTGGTCCACGTTAGCATAAACCACATTTTGGTGTGTTGCTTTTCTTTCGCCAAGCTGCCCCAGGCTTTTCAGAATTTTTAAGGAGGGGAGCCAGATAAAAGCTACGGTTTTGCAGATAGATAGATATATTTATCAAAACAGGCACTTTTTTTTTTTTTTTTGCACAGATCTTTCTCAGTTTCACGACTTTGTGCATGCAAGGGAAGAAATAATGCTTGATCAATAAGAGCCCAATAGTGCATGATTCGTTTAAGCACTGCAGTAATTCACTTAAGGAGAAATTTCCTGACAGTTAGAACAATTGATCGGTGGAACAACTTGCCTCCAGATGTTGTGAATGCTCCAACACTGGACGTTCTTAAGAAGAGATGGTAGGGTATAGTCTGAAATGGTATAGGGTTTTCTGTCTGAGCAGGGGGTGAGACTAGAAGATCTCCAAGGTCCCTTCCAGCTCCATTATGATTAAATTGATTGAAGATGATAGATAGATGATAGATAGATAGATAGATAGATAGATAGATAGATAGATAGATAGATAGATAGATAGATAGATGGATGGATGGATGGATGGATGGATGGATGGATGGATAGATAGATAGATAGATAGATAGATAGATATACGGACAGACAGATAGATGTTAGATAGATAGATAGATAGATAGATAGATAGATAGATAGATAGATAGATAGTTGGTTGGATGGATGGATAGATAGATGGATGGATGGATGGATGGATGATAGATAGATAGATAGATAGATAGATAGATAGATAAATAGATAGATAGCTGGATGGATGGATAGATGGATGGATGGATGATAGATAGATAGATAGATAGATAGATAGATAGATAGATAGATAGACGGACAGACAGACAGATAGATGTTAGATAGATAGATAGATAGATAGATAGATAGATAGATAGATAGATAGATAGTTGGATGGATGGATAGATAGATAGATGGATGGATGGATGGATGGATGATAGATAGATAGATGATAGATAGATAGATAGATAGATAGATAGATAGATAGATAGATAGACAGACAGACGGATGGATGGATAGATGATAGATAGATAGATAGATAGATAGATAAATAGATAGATAGATAGATAGATAGATAGATAGATAGACAGACAGACAGACAGACAGACAGACAGATAGTCAAGTTGTGGGTGCTCCAACACTGGAAGTTTTCAAGAAGAGACTGGACAGCGATTTGTCTGAAATGGGAAATGGTATCAGGTCAATGGTATCAATGAAGGTTGGACTAGAAGACCTCCAAGGTCCCTTCCAACTGTGTTATTCTACTCCAACTTTGGCAAGTAAGGTCAAAAAAGGGGCAAAAGTCATTTGGCAACCGCCTTGCTTAGCTATGGAAAATGTTAGGCTCCATTGAGATCGTAAGGTGAAGACCACCTGTATCCATCAGGCTTCCCAAAGGCTTCCCAGCAATCCACCTCTTACCTAGGCAGATGGGTTGGTGAGTGGACTTCCACTGAGCGATTCCAGATATGTTTGTGCATTTAATAATGTTACTTTTTCCTGCTTGTCTCTTGTAGCCTTCATCACATATGTAGCGAGCCGAAGTACCCACAACATACTGATCCGTGTAATACTCTGCAAATTTAGCTGTATCAGGATCAGGGCATTGATCTGCAAAGGAAGAGAAACGATAAACACGGTGCTGTTTGATCATCCCAGCCGCAAGCCAAGTTGGATGGGATCCGTTGCATTCTCCTAGACCAGGGGTAGGCAACCTTGGCTCTTGGATGACTCGTGGACTTCAACTCCCAGAATTCCTGAGTCAGCTATGCTGACTCAGGAATTCTGGGAGCTGAAGTCCACGAGTCATCAAAGAGCCGAGGTTGCCTACCCCTGTCCTAGACCAAGGCTTTTCAACCAGTGGTACGGGTACCACCTATGGTACATTGATACATGCAGTGGTACATGACCATCCTAGAAAAGTGGTAGCAGGGGAGGGGAATGAGCTGAACCGGTGGCAGCACCGCATAAGCCTGAGCGAGAGATGGCTGGAGCTGCAGGGCTGTCGGGGCTCAGCGGAAGCCCCAGGATCAGCGCCAGGCTCCAGCTAGGGTTCAGCGCTTATCCTGGCGCTTCCGCTGAGCCCAGAAGAAGCGCCGATCAGCTGGAATGTTGCAGCCTCTGCAGGGTCTTGTGATTGACATTCAGATGCTTGGCAACCGATTCATATTTATGACGGTCACAGTGTCCCAGGGTCATGTGAAGGGACCAAAACCTGCTGCAACCACCCAGCAGATGGGGGGGGAATAAAAACCAAATACCCACCCCACCCCACCCCCGTTGCCAATCCTCAACGAAATGCTCACAACAATGAAAACCTCGGACAGGAGGAAGAGCGCGGCCGGGTGGGCAGGCAGGTGTCTTGCTCAGCTGTGGCTTGGGGGGCATTTTTTTCGGTGCCATTGTAACTTCAAACAGTCACTAAGCGAACTGTTGTAAGTCGAGGACTACCTGTACTTTATCACTTTTTTCTCTCTTTTTTTGGTCATCGAGTTTTTGACATTTTTGTATAAGAAAAGGAAAGCTCAGGAAGATTGCAAACAGTGATATACAGGGAACTTTGTATAAGATTGCATTTTTCCTTCCTACTGCCCATAGAAATATAGGAAAAACACCCTAAATATCTTCATAGGCCTTCTGTTTTGTCTTCCTTCCTTCCTTCCTTCCTTCCTTCCTTCCTTCCTTCCTTCCTTCCTTCCTTCCTTCCTTCCTTCCTTCCTTCCTTCCTTTCCTTTCCTTTCCCTTCCCTTCCTCTTTCTTTCTTTCTTTCTTTCTTTCTTTCTTTCTTTCTTTCTTTCTTTCTTTCTTTCTTTCTTTCTTTCCTTATAAGTGTGACATTTTATTCTAATCATCAAACCCATAAATCACATTTACTTTTTTTTACTTTTTTCAGCAAAAAGTCCAGAAGGGGTTTCCAGTCCCTAATAAATTCTCTGCTGCAGAAACTCTCCTGAAGGATTCAGGTGGCCTTTTTCAAGCTGAAATGTATCGTTAGAAATTCAAAAGGGTAGAAAAAGTCCATATTTCTGAAAGGCAGTAGACCTGTTTTTGTTTTTTGTTTTAATGTCAATGTTACAGGTTCTTCCCCCATTTATAATGATTTCTGCTGGTTGGCTTTATTGAACAAGAACAAAAAAAAATATTTAGTCAAAGAGGGTAAAATGAAAAAAAACGATCTTCAAGTGAAACCCAACATGTGAGTAAAAAAAACTCTCACTTTCCATCAAAGTCAGCCGCATTTCTCTCAAGACTTCAAACAATTTCTTTGAAGCAGCTGCTTGAGGGAACCACATTTTATCTGCTCCGTAACTTGCAGTCTTGTCATCCAGGTTTTACTTTCAGCCCCTGCTCTTTCACCCAAAGTTATCGCTGTGAACAAAAATGGAAAAACATGCCTTGCGATAGACTCCTATCGCAAGCCTTGCAGGTCTCCTGACTTCATAATGAAGTTAAGAATCCCTTGATTCCCTCCTTGGTGATTTCATTTTAAAAAATAAACAATTAAAGTTCGTCATAAGTGAAAATACAAATCAGAAAGGAAAATCAGAGAAGTTAAAGGGGGGAAGAAGAGGTTAAAAAAAAAAAAAAAAAGTCCAGAAACTATTTCCAGGTAGAAAGAAAACTAGGAAAGTTTTTGTCTTTAATTTTGTAATCTAATTCGCTTTTCCTTTTTCAATATTTCTGGTTAACAAAACTCTGGAAATCTATTTTTCTGGTCTGTAGGGGGCTGATAGAAACTTGTTGTTAATCAGATGTGTGTTTCCTCCTTCTGCAACTGAGGGGTTTGCTTGGGTTCCCCGTTTGTCCTGCAAAAATACATTAAAGATCTCCAGAACTCCCAAAGATTGTTGGTTGGAAAGGATAGGGTTTTTTTTTAAGAAAAAACATCCAGGAATAAAAGAAATGCACTCCCTAATATTGATGTGAAAAAGTTCCTGGATAGAACAGAAGAGAATAACAGAGTTGGAAGGGATCTGAGAGGTCTACTAGTCTAATTCCTGCTCAAGCAGGAGACCCTATACCAGTGTTTCTCAACCTTGACAATTTTAAGACATGTGGACTTCAACTCCCAGAATTCCACAGCCAGCAATGCTGGCTGTGGAATTCTGGGAGTTGAAGTCCACATGCCTTAAAATTGTCAAGGTTGAGAAACACTGCCCTATACCATTTCAGATAAATGGTTGTCCAGTCTCTTCTTAAAAACCTCCAGTGATGGAGCACCCACAACTTCTGGAGGCAAGTCATTCCACTGATAATAATAATAATGATAAAGTTGGAAGGGACCTTGAGGTCATCTAGTCCAACCCCCTGCTCAGGCAGGAAACCCTATACCATTTTGGACAAATGGCTGTCCAGTTTCTTCTTAAAAACTTCCAGTGTTGGAGCATTCACCGCTTCTGGAGGCAGGTTGTTCCACTGGTTAATTGTTCTAACTGTCAGGAAGTTTCTCCTTAGTTCTGGGTTGCTTCTCTCCTTGATGAGTTTCCATCCGTTGCTTCTTGTCCTGCCCTCAGATGCTTTGGAGAATAGCTTGACTCCCTCTTCTTTGGGGCAGCCCCTGGGATACTGGAAGACTGCTATCATGTCCCCCCCTCGTCCTTCTCTTCGTTAAACTAGACATACCCAATTCCAGCAACCGTTTCTTATATGTTTTAGCCTCCAGTCCCCTGATCATCTTTGTTGCTCTTCTCTGTACTCTTTCTAGAGTCTCAACATCTTTTTTACATCGTGGTGACCAAAACTGGAGGCAGTATTCCAAGTGTGGCCTTGCTTCTCTCCTTGATTAGTTTCCATCCATTGTTTCTTGTCTTGCCTTTTGGTGTTTTGGGAACTAAGTTGACCGCCCTCTCCTTTGTGGCGGCCCCTCAGATATTGGAAGATTGCTATCCTGTCCCCCCTCGTCTTTCTTTTCACTACCCAATTCCTTCAACCGTTCTTCATATGTTTTAGCCTCCAGTTTCCTTATCAGATTTGTTGGTCTTTTCTGCACTTTTTTTCTAGAGATCAACATCATTTTTAGATTGTGAATGCAGTCACCAAAGTTGAATTTACCTTGCGGCTGACTTTACGTTTCTCATTCTTTCTCATTTTCACGAATGGAGTAAGTCTGATCTGCCAGTTATTTGTGAACTGCAATTCCCAGCACTCCCTCAGCACAAGACATACTGGCTGACACTGCTGGAAATGGCAGTTCAGCAGTAGATTCCCCATCGAGAATGTGACAAACTTATTAATCATCTCTCTGTCAACTAAAAAAAGGTTCTCAAGTGACAATTAGACCACAAAATAGGATTCCAGTTTGTGGAAACAACATTGGCAGGTGGAGAATGCCAAGCTGCACCTGATTTGCCTTCTCACAAGACACACAAACACTCTCCCGTCTTGCCAACTACAACATCCCCCAAAGTGATCTGCAAAAAAAAAAAAATCTCCTTAAGCTTTTTCATTTCATTCACAGGCACATTCAGAGACAACCTAGATAGAACTAAGGAGAAACTTCCTGACAGTTAGAGCAATTAACCAGTGGAACAACCTGCCTCCAGAAGCGTTGAATGTTCCAAGACTGGAAGTTTTTAAGAAGAGACTGGACAGCCATTTGTCTGAAATAGTATAGGGTTTCCTGCCTGAACAGGGGGTTGGATTAGATGACCTCCAAGGTCCTTCCAACATTATTGTTGTTGTTGTCATCATCATCATCATCATCATCATCATTCATTAGAAGTGAACCTCAGTCAACTGAACATTCAAATTGACTGGCGCTGATGGTTGACACGGGTTGCTGCCAGCATCCTAGGTATCAACCAGGTATCTCCTTAAAATGTAAGATGTTCTGAGTAGCGCAGTTTTTTGTAGCATTGCTGGAGTTATTGCAGTTCCCAGCGCCCCGATGACAATGGGTATCACTGTTACATGTTTCATGCATAATGGCCAGGTCGCGATATTTCGTATTTCTTCTTCTTCTTCTTCTTCTTCTTCTTCTTCTTCTTCTTCTTCTTCTTCTTCTTCTTCTTCTTCTTCTTCTTCTTCTTCTTCTTATTCTTCTTATTCTTCTTCTTATTCTTCTTCTTCTTCTTCTTCTTCTTCTTCTTCTTCTTCTTCTTCTTCTTCTTCTTCTTCTTCTTCTTCTTCTTCTCCTCCTCCTCCTCCTCCTTTTCCTTTTCCTTCTCCTTCTCCTTCTCCTTCTTCCCCTCCTCCTCCTCCTCCTCCTCCTCCTCCTTCGTAGTATTGTTATTAAATCCATCCATGGGAAATAGACTTGCTAGAATGCTTTGCCTCCCCTTATATCTTTTTTCAGATGAGAATTGCAACGCAAGTCAGGTGAACTTACCTTTTCCAGCCCCCTCACTATATTGGAAAATGCTGCATACCAGAAGCAGCCCAAACTCAAGAAAAACGCCGCTCATGTCTTCTTGACTGGCACCTCAGATCAATTTGGAAGGGAGTTTTAGCTGACAAATTTCAGAGTCTGTCGGTCTCTCTTCTGGAGGTCCCGAGCAGAAAAAGCAGTTTGATCATATCTTGCTAGCTCTACGTCCTTTTCACGCACCCACCCTGGAAGGAGCAGAAATTGAAATTGAAGAGACACACACACACACACACACACACACACACACACACACACACATCCTACTCATCTAGTAAGTTGCATTTTCAAAGGTGTCTCGGCTGAACTACATTTGGAGGAAGTGGTTTGCCCGTGCGGTTGAAACAGCTGACCCACAGAATGGACAATTTTTACCACCCGCTGTACCAGCTCCTTCTAAAACCAAGAGGCATCTAGCTGAAGTTGCAAATCAATCGTTTGGTCCATTCATTTACCTGCTGCGCCAGTGGCAAAGATTGGCAAACGCTGTGCCAAGGAAAACTGGCACGCCAAGGACTGTAATTACATTAATAGTGCCTTTACCGTTTGCATTTCATTTTTAATTCATCCTGTCAACACAGGCCGTACATAACTGTTACTACAGTTTAGGATGCAAATAGTCCTTAACTGAGCCCAAATTTATCCAGCTGAAGGAGCTGCTACAGCAGATGTTAAGACCATCTCTGTTGATCAAGTTTACTGCCCGCACGGGCAAAGCAGAAAAGATTGATAAACAAAGTATATACTTGATTCTACATGTGATAACAGCGGCAAGAGTCATATTCACCCAACACTGGAAAAAGGAAGAAATACCAGCAGAGGAAGAAACAATTAAAAAAAAATACTAGAATGTGCGGAAATGGACAGACTTGCTTTGGGGTTGAAAGAAAAAGAAGGAACAGAATACTTACTGACTTGGGACTTATTTTATCAATGGCTGGAAAAAAGAACAAAGGGTAGGAATTACCTTTGCATTAGTGAATGATAAACTCAGGCAACACGTTTGTTGAATAAGTACTACTGAATTGTATGAAAAAAATTAAAATAATAAAAACCTTTTAAAAAAAACAACTGCATGAGCAAACCACTTCCCGTGAGACAGTGGGTTTTGCCCCATTTTACGACCTTTCTGGCCACCGTTGTTAAGTGGATCACTGCAGTTCTTAAGTTAGTAACACAGCTGTTAAGTGAATCTGGCTCTGCTTGTCAGAAGTTGCAAAAGCGGATCATTGCAACCGTCATAAGTACACGCCAGTTGCCCAGCATCCAAATTTTGATCATGTGACCTTGTACTCCTTATGCATACCCACACCCACGTCCAATTTATACTCTGGCTAGCTTTGAAATCCAGCAGAATCAAAGAAGGTGGCTATCAGACCCGTAGTCTTCTTTGGGTGATTACTCTGAACTCCCATAATTCCCATCCTGTCTAATAAAGGCTTGGCTAGTCCTGGCTTAACAATAGCAGTAGCACTTAGACTTATATACCGCTTCACAGTGCCTTTACAGCCCTCTCTAAGTGGTTTAAGAGTCAGGATATTTACCCCCAACAATCTGGGTCCTCATTTTACCAACCTCGGAAGGACAAAAGGCTGAGTCAACCTTGAGTTGCTCAGGATCGAACTCCTGGCAGTTGGCAGAGCTAGCAATAGCAATAGCACTTATACTTACATACCACTTCACGGTGTTTTACAGCCCTCTCTAAGTGGTTTACAGAGTCAGCATATTTACCCCCAACAATCTGGGTCCTCATTTTACCAACCTCGGAAGGACAAAAGGCTGAGTCAACCTTGAGTTGGTCAGGATCGAACTCCTGGCAGTCGGCAGAACTAGCAATAGCACTTATACTTACATACCACTTCACAGTGTTTTACAGCCCTCTCTAAGTGGTTTACAGAGTCAGCATACTACCCCCAACAATCTGGGTCCTCATTTTAAGGATGGAAGGCTGAGTCAACCTCGAGTCCTGTCAGGATCGACCTGCTGGCAGTGGGCAGAGTCAGACTGCAATACTGCCTTCTAACCACTGCGCCACCAGGGCTCCTGGGGCTTGATAATCTTCTCATCCCATTCTTTTCATTGGCTCACTTGCGCCAATCATCTTTTAGTATGAGAAAAATCTCTTGTGGTCCGAAAGGAAATCAACCGTGGCTGTTCTTTGGAAGGACAGATAAAGCTCAAATACTTTGGCCACTAAATGAGAAGAGTGGACTCCTTGCAAAAGACCCCCATGCTTCTACCCTTGAAAGAAAGATTTAAACCAGACAAAAAAGAGTTATGGGTTTGATTTTGTGAGAAACGAATTGGAAATCCTACTGTGTGATAGCCATGAGCATTCTTACCAAAGTTTATAAATTGTTATTGAATTTGAATTTGGAGAATGAATAGGTAAAACACTCCAGTGGGCAAGGAACTTGGGATACAATGCCACGCTTGAACCATGGGAGAATATGTGGATGAAAAATTTACATTAAATTATAATTTCAAAGAAAAACCATATACGGTGATATATTCTTGGTACTGAACGCCAGATAAGTTGTATAAAGGTATTTCAAATGAATGTTGGAAATGTAAAAGTAAAGGAAGAGGATTCACATCTTAATCCAGAGGATTCTCAAAGTGAATATAAAGATAAAACCGGAAACCTTTCTTTTGAGTGTAATATAAAAAGACTTGGAAAAAGAAATTGGAACTTTTATGTTATATATGTTGACGGCAGCAAGATTGCTTTATGCACAAAAATGGAAGGATACTTTGATTCCTACAATGGATGAACGGCTGCAGGAGTTGATGGGGTTAGCAAAGATCACTTAACTGTCTGCTTTGATGAAAGGAAAAAACAACAACACCACAATTACTTTTCTTTCTACTTGGAAACCACTTCTGGACTTTGTGCTTGAGGTGGGAAAAAAAAATGAAACTTTGGTTTTGGGTTTTACCAACTAGATGGGTTTATTGATACAGAAATGGCTTGATTATAATATTATGTTAAAAGAAAAAGTTGAGGTTTGATGTTATCTTATTCTGCTTGCACCAGAGGGAGTCAGAAGCCAGTGCCTGTTCTTTCTTTCTTTCTTTCTTTCTTTCTTTCTTTCTTTCTTTCTTTCTTTCTTTCTTTCTTTCTTTCTTTCTTTCTTTCTCCCCTTTTTCCTACACTTTTCCCTCCCCCATCTTTCCTACTATTTTCTTTTGCATTTTTATATCTTATAGCAGTGTTTCCCAAATTTGACAATTTTAAGGCATGAGGACTTCAACTCCCAGAATTCCATAGCCAGCGTTGCTGGCTGTGGAATTCTGGGAGTTGAAGTCCACATGCCTTAAAATTGTCAAGTTTGGGAAACACTGTCTTATAGTATGGTATTAATCCATAAATAAACGATAAAAAAGGATCCTGATGCTGGGAAAGATTGAAGGCCAAAAAGGAGAAGAGGATGGCTAGATAAAAGTCTGTGGAGATTCTCAGTCAAATGTGCTTTTCCAGGAGGCACCTAGACATTCTTGTTTTTCTTTGAAGACGTTTCACTTCTCATCCAAGAAACTTCTTCAGCTCTGACTGGAGGGTGGGAGTGGAAGGATTTATACTCCTTGCGGACAGCTGGTCATTTGCATTCTTTTAGAGCAGTGGTTCTCAACCTTTTTAATGCCGCGACCCCCAACCGGTCATAAGTCGAGGACTACTCAACCGGTTGTAAGTCGAGGACTACTCAACTGGTGCAGCACCGTTTGCAGAATGGGACTTTTGGAGGGCTCAGCAGGGCAGAGACAGCCTGGACAATTCCTATTGGCTTTGGAAAGCCAATAGAATTAAGACTCTATTCAAGAGAGTCTATTCTATTGGCTTTCAACAGCCAATAGAATAAAAGGGAATAGCACAGCTAAGGAAAAGGGGAAAAAAATGGCGGACTGCGTTGTTTGGCGACCCCCGTGAAATGGTCGTTCGACCCCAAATGGAGTCCCGACCCACAGGTTGAGAACCACTGTTTAGAGAGTCCTTGAGGCCACCTGGATGTTTACCTGTGTCCTCAGGGTCACCTGTGTAGGGCACGTGGGTGTGGAGTCAAATGGGTGTGAAGGCTCCACACCTATTTGCACCACTCAGGTGACCCTGAGGACACAGGTAAACCTCCAAGTTGCCTCAATGACTCTCTAAAAGAATGCATCTCTCTGCAAGGAGTATAAATCCTTCAGTTCCCTACCATCCAGTCAGAGCTAAAGAAGCTTCTGGGATGAGAAGCGAAACGTCTTCAGAGAAAAACAAGAAAGTCCAGTTGCCTCGTGAAAAAGCACCTTTGGGACAACCATGTCCTGGATGACTGAGAAGCTCCATAGACAGCTGTTCAACTTTGACATAGGTGGCTTCTTTGAACTGAACAGCCGAAACTGAACAGTCAAAATTGAACAGCCGTCTCTCAATAGAGGGGGAGAGATATGATATTATCTATCTCCAGTCTACAACACAGTCCTTTCAGCAGTTCCAAGTAGACTTTACAACCATTTGCACCACTCAGGTGATCCTAAGGATGCAGATAAACCTCCAAGTGGCCTCAACAACTCTCTAAAACAGGGGTCTTCGACTTCAGCCCTTTGATGACTTCTGGACTTCAACTCCCAGAATTCCTCAGCCAGCGTGCCTGGCTGACGAACTCTGGGAGTTGAAGTCCACAAGTCAAGGGGTCTTTCAACTTGGCCCTTTTATGAGTTGTGGACCAACTCCCAGAATTCCCTGTCTTAAATCTAACAAACAAAATGGAGGCTGGCTAAAAAATTCTGGGAGTTGAAGTCCACAAGTCATAAAAGGGCCAAGTTTGAAGACCCCTGTTTTAAATCTAACAAACAAAATGGAGGCTGGCTGAGGAATTCTGGGAGTTAAACTCCACAAGTCATAAAAGGGCCAAGTTTGAAGACCTCTGTCTTAAATCTAACAAACAAAATGGAGGCTGGCTAAGGAATTCTGGGAGTTGACGTCCACAAGTCATAAAAGGGCCAAGTTTGAAGACCCCTGTTTTTAATCTAACAAACAAAATGGAGACTGGCTGAGGAATTCTGGGCGTTGAAGTCCTCAAGTCATAAAAGGGCTGAGCTTGAAGACCCCTGCTCTAAAAGAATGCAAATGGCCAGCCGTCTGCAAGGAATATACCATCCAGTCAGAGCCGAAGAGGCTTCTCGGATGAGAAGTGAAATG